GATCTCCCCAAAACCCCAAAACCCCAAAACCCCACTTCAATTTTTTGATTAGTTGAAAGTGATTTACATTTTAAAATATATGAAAACTAAATGAACTGTATATATTTCAGAAGGGGTTGAAAGGGTTTTATTGAGTTTTTGGCTATTGGCTAGTAAATTAGTTGAAAAAATCGTCATTTAAGCCACTGTTTAAATTTGACTAAGGCTACTGCTGTGTATTTCCACCAAATCCAGTACCAAAGCCTAGATTTAATCCTGTTTAATTCTATTAGGTATTAAAGCTACTACCTCCAAAGTTCAACCCTCCTAGTGGATTGTTATTTTATTACTAGAAACCAAGATTATTATTGTTCATCCCACCAAACTGTCCATAACCAGTATTTTGCTATTGCTATTGAATACCTGCTCCATATTACTAGTTGAACTGACCGAAATTATTCATCCCCAAATTATTATTTAAGGGTTGCTGACCAAAATTGGCTCCCATGCTATTATTGCTGTTTAAGTTCATGCTGTTTCCAGTAAAGCCTCCTCCCATAGAGAACTAGTTATTCTACTATTACTATTGAATAGGCTGTTAATTCATACTTCCAAAATTACTAAATCCTATTAAAAACATGAGACTACAATTATTTACCTTATGATTGAGGTTTTTCAATAAGATCTGCAAAGGGATCATTATTTGAAGACGCTCCAAAACCTAGTCCACTGAATTAGTTTATGGGCTTATTTTAAGCCATTGATTAATTCTGCTAAATACCACTAAAACCAGATCCAAAAGAGTTTAAATTAGATTGATTCCCTCCACCATATCCTGTCAGTGGGTTTGAATTACTTTTTGACTAAGCAGAAGTTGTGCTAGAAAATCCATTCTATCCAAAACTGGCCCAATCAGATGATGAATTGTTCACAACAGGCTGTTTATTATCTGAAATTATTGGAAGGTCAGAGTCCCATCCACCACCTACATTCATCTTTTATTATTAGGGTTAGAAATTGCTTGTTTAGCCACCACCTAGTGAAAGAGATGAACCCAATATTTCAGCGAAAGGATCTCCTCCAGTCTTTGTGGTCGCTGTTTAATTCAAGTTTAACCCTGTCATCATTGAATTAAGTGGGTTGGAATTTTAGCTACTCATTAGATTTTATGTATTTGATGTATTTGCTGTAGGAGTAGATTATGGCTGAGATTATGCTGCTGATGAACCGCCATCTAGAGTGTTTAAGAAATCAAATACATCTTTATTTGTAGGATTTGATAGAGACTATTTGTTAGCTTTATTATCGTCAATATCAATTTTATCTGAAGATGGAATGTCTTGACCCATATCTCTAAGATCCTTTTCTCTATGCTTTTCAATCTAGTCAAGCAGTCTTCTCACACTAAGCATCATTTCTGTGAACTGACTTCTGGTAAAAGTACCGCTAATAAGCATTGGTATAATACCTGGCAGAATTTTATGGCCGATTTCATCTACTCCTAGAGTCTTAGCCATTTATTCATATATCTTTAGCATTAACATGCATACCTAAGGGTCTGTTTCACTTGATCTTATTTTCTCAAATGTCTTTAAGATTTTATCTTTCATTGTCTATTAATCAATACCAGGAATGATCTCGTTTAATACTTCTAGAGTTTTTTGTTTAATCTAAAGAGGATAATTTTTCTCAATGAGACCTAACACTCTTGGTAGAATCTGAGTCTTTACCACAGCATAATCTAATTATTTAATAACAAACGGTACTTTCGTCAAAGCAAGAAATTGAAGTTTTGGCACTTGAACTTCAAGTGCTTTATTAATGAGTACCAAGAAGTGTGATTAGAATTCTGATGGCCCAACGAATTTGATGAATAGCTCAGTATTCTTTAAGATTAGATAGAGACTTTAAGCTGGTAGTTCCTTTGCTTTGACTAGTTTTTACAAACTTGGCCAAATATATTCTCTAAACTCAGTTGTTGTTAAATAATTCTATCTCTCCATAACATCAAGAATGCTTGGAAGAACATTGACTGAAAGCTAAATTGATTTCATCTGATCGAGCAATAGAGGGATCACTTTCTTGATCAATGCTTTTTTGTCAAACTTAGATAAGATCGTTGTGATACCTGTCAGAAATTAAACTTTATTTTGATGATCTCTAGAATCTATTGTCTCTAAATACTTGATGGTTTTAAGCAACGGATCTTAAAACCATGATTTGACGACAACTTCATTAAGTGGCCCTCTTGACTCTGGATAATTAATATTCAGCATTTATCTCATTATAATCTCAAAGTCAGATTCCATACCAGCCATAAGCATATTAAATCTCTTGTCAAAGCCTTTTAGCTCATAGACATGCTAATCCTTGCTAGTGATGTCAGTTTAATTGAGGATAAATGGATCTTTACCTCTGTTAATTGCAACCATAAAGTAAATCAAACAGCCCACAGAAAATAAATCTGTGTTGAAGCTGCACATTTGCTTGTCGCTGATTTCAGGGGCTGAGAATCTCAAATTAGGAACAATAGCAATATCTCCGACTTTAAGGTCAAAGTGTAATGGGACATGCAATGACTCTGACGTTGAAAATTATTAAGCGAAATTCAACCCTCCTAATTTCAATTTTCCTTCTTTATTGATGTAGACATGCTCAGGGGCTAGACCCATATGCATGTTCTTAGCATTGTTATGCAGGAAATTCAGAGCCTCTAGAAGTTCAAGGGAAAGACACTTAATCTCCAAATCACCGGGAATTAACTCCTTCTTGGTGGCATCAAAAACTAAACTAGCCAGATTAAATTCAATAGGTTCAGTTGCAAATATTATAAATTTGGCATCCTCCTATGGCTATTCTATCAATGAGAGCAGACTAGGATGTCTTAATTTAGTCAAATTCTAGGGATCTTTCTTCAAGATATTGCAAATGTCATCTCTTTATGCTTAAGAATACTTCTTTTTGTCTAAGCTTTTCTTTTCGAAAATGAAAAGTGAGCAGTCCATATTATTTCTGTCCTTTTTCTTTGCTCTGTAAACCTTCCAAAGATTGTGGAGTCCTCCATGCATATAGGGTTCTTTTTCAACATCGTAATTTTTAGTTAGACTTGAACCCATGACATTTTTGATAAAGTTGTTTAGCATTTGTAAATTTATAAATAATGAAATTATGAGTTATTAGGAAAATACTACTAATAGCACACAACTAAAAATACTACTAATACTTTAAAAACACTTGATTAAGATTCTAAGATGATTAAATATATAATAATAAATTCAAAAGAAAATCTCACACACATAACTTCACTACCAATCTACCTTTAAACGATATGCATAAAAATCTTTCCAAGCAGTCAGCTGCTTAACAACAACCATCCGTGGTTTACGAAAAAACCATTTAATTTTCATAAGCCCAAGCCATAGTGTGGCAAATCAAATTCATTCTCAACCAAATTACTAGCAAAAAGTTGATGAGTTCCGCTTCCAATGAACTTGAAAATGTAAGAGTACCCCTCCGCGCATTTATAATTTCTATTACTATTTATTCCTTTGATTTCTAAGTTGTTTACATATGATTTATAGCTATCTAAGCAGTTTGGCAAAGAGTTCGACAAATATTTGCTCAGAGAGCTAATCGAGCAAATTGATTTAAAAGATCCAGTGAAAGCTCAAATGGACCGCAATGATCAATTCAAAGTGCAATTGCTCAACTAAGAGTTAGCTAGATGTTAACAGAAGCATGAATTTCTGCAGTACTTCAGCGAGGTAACTTTTGATTAGAATTAAACATATTTTTGCATAGATAGTCCAACATATTTTCAATGACCGCCCTGGTGAGTTTCTGACAGAGCTCACTAAAAGACTCAGATTAAATTTCCCTACACAACTCCTAATAGCTTTATCAATTTATGAGTCTAGTAGAGAAGAATCTCTAGCGGAAGGTATATCTTTTATCAACTCATTTTTAATAGCTCTGAAGATTTTAAAGCAAAAACTCGCTGATTACTATAGCTATGGCAAGCCTGAGCCACTTCCAGAATATGCGGTTCACAGACTCGTATACCTTTTATCTATTAATCCTGAACTCGTAAGATTTCCATATTTTTTAAACATATGTTTTTAGAACTAAGATGATGGTTTAAGAGATATCTAATAGTATATTAAAGATAGCAATAACTTGAAGAATACTTCTCATGTATCATTAAGGTCTGCGCTCTAACAAGATATAATCTACTCAAATACTAGTCAAGAGGATCCCTCAATTTCACTAATAAAGGATGGAAATGGTTTAGATAACCTAGACAAAGCTTTTAGGATACTTGAGCCTTGGTAAATATTGGTTGATATTGGCCATTACTGCACATACAACTACAATTATTTGCTGAAAGTATTAGAAGACTTTAAAGATATAAATGAGATGAAAATGGCAAGAACTCTCCTATATTTAGCATAAAATCACACTGGTCTTGAAGATCAACAAACTAGAATTGTTTATAGCACCTTTGAAGCCTGTAAAAAAGGGGATTCTACAAGCCTCAACAAAGAACCCAAAGACCAAAAGACTCAAATGACATGGAGTGTAGACAATCTTGCTAGAGCTTTCAGAGAGTTGTATTCAAACTTGAACTGGCAAAAGGTTTTTGAAGCACTCACAGAAATTTAAAATGAAGTAACTCTAGACTTCAAAGCTTTCCAAGTGTTTATTTAGCTTTTCAACAAATCAAAGCCTCAAAACGTCCAGTATCCACTAAACATAATTCTAAATGCAAATTATCTGTGGGCTGATCCAGAACTTCACCTAAGCTTTATTGAGAATACAATATAAATGTATACAGAGAAGAAAGAAAAGTCAATTAACTTCTAAAAGCTTGAGAGAAGATAGGAAATGATCGAAGAACTTGCTTCAATTAAAGAGAGAGTACCACTCGAGCACATCAATGTTTGGCTGTCAATAGATCTCGTTGAGATTCTTATTTAACTCTCAGATTCACATTCATTTACCAAAGTTAGAAGCCTCTTCGACTATCCTATGAAGAATTTGCCTGAATATCTACTTCTTACTCTTAGTCACTGCAAACCAAAGCATGGAAATCTAATGATAGATGAGTTACTTTCATTGCTTTTACCATAATTCCTAGGAAATCATGTTAACTCAATTCCAGTACTACAAAATTTATGGAAAAATAATCAAGCTTTGATTATCAGAGGTATTTGTGAGTTATGCAGACATGACTAAAGAATAATGAACTTATCCAGAGTACTTGACATTACTTAAGAAGTTAAAGAGAGTCTGATGCCTATTGTTAATTGTGATGACTATTACTTCGCTGTAAATCTTGGAATTCTAGCTGGTAAAAGAGACTTCCTTCACTACGATCAATGGCTATCTGAAAGAATAAAGAATATTGGAACACCTTTTATCAAAGCTCTCCTTAAGTATATGAAAGAACATATTGTTTAGCCAATTGCTGAGTATGTCAAAGCCAGAACAGTGGCAGGGTAAGCCTTTGATATGAATTCTGATGCCTTTGAGCAATAAAAGCAACAAATATTGGATAGATCTCATCTTAGCAAGGAGAAGCTATGTATAACTATTGAGCACTTAAGCAGCATGTAAAATAGGTAAAACCCTAAAATCATCAGATAAACTATTGAACAAATCAGTGATCTAGTCTCTCAAATAAATGAATACTATCCTAACCAGTTCTAATCGAACATAAATTCCGAAGAGATAGATAATGCTGCAAATGAATATTTCTAGAGAGTTTTTTCAGCAGATCCTCCCCAGGTAGATCAGAGAATAATCGAGTTAATAGAGACAATGAGAAGATTCAAAGAATCTGAGGTGAAGAGAGAATAAGAAATCTATGCTTGCATGCTTCACTCTTTATTCGATGAGTACAGATTCCTTCACAGATATCCTCAACAATTCCTAGAGAAAATAGCCAAGTTATTTGGAGCAATTGTAAGACACAGAATCATTGATGGAACTCTCTAAGATATCGCTTTGAAATTTGCTTTTGAAGCATTTAGAAGAGAAGGAAAGCGTCAAAAGTTTGGAATTATCACAATCAGATAATTCTTTGATATGCTACCCTAATTCCCTCAATTCTTTGATGAGATTTATGAAAACAGACATAACATAGAGAGAACTGATCCAGAAATGATAAGAGATATCGAGGAACTCTACCATAGAACTAGAGCAAATGTTTAAACTTAAAGCAATATAAGTACAAATGCAAACTCAGCCATTCATTCTGATAGATCCTCTCAAAGTGAGGAGTAAAAATGGATCTAAGACCATGCTAATAACAGAGGTGCAGAGGAATCAAAGATTCAAGCTGCTTAAAGCAAAGAGGATTCAAAGAAACAACCTAATGCTAACTAATTGCAATAGCAACCTTCTGAGAAAAAGCCAGATTTGATTTCAAATATGCCTGCTTTAGACTCTGAACAGTTTGTTGAAAAAATTCAAACTTCAGGGAATCAAAGGATAAACTAGGCATCATAAAGTGCTAATAACCAGAATAATCAATAGAATGCCTTGACCTAGAGTGCCGCACAGCAGAAATAAAACTCGGCACCTAACAAGAACGCTTAGACCAACAGCGGAGCTAATAATGCTTAAGTTACTGATAATAGTTTACAAAGATCTGTTGCTAATTAACATCAAGATTTCGTACCTTCTTATAAAGCAAAATAATAAACACAAATGATGCAACCAACAGCCACGAAATCTCAACCAGTACCTGAAAATACTAACCTAAACATCTAATCAGCTGCCTTCAAGCGTGTGACTCCTAACTAAGCTAATCTAAATCAACAGTAACCAACTCCATAGCTGACCCCATAGCCTGGGCTAATTCAACCAACCACCTCGAACCCTTTAAACTAACAGCTATCCCATGTGAATATAATTAACAGTCAAGTTTTCAGACCCATGAACATGAGGAGCCCAGCCCCTCAAATCCAGGTCAACGAGTCTGTGATTCTAATGTAACAATAACTAGGAGAAAAAATCTAAAAAGCGCTTAAAGAGAACGCTAAGATCAGACTGGAGGATATTTTGGAGGATACCAACATGACGACTCCAGCTCCGGATATTTAAGAATCCATTAAATTTATATGTAATAATACTGGAAAAAACAATTTTGCCTAAAAACTAGAAGAATTAAAAACCTCGATTGCTTAAAGTCCTGTCGTTAACTTAAACTGGTTTATTTAATATATCCTTATCAGAAGAATATCTCAGAGTAGTAACTTGTATCATCTGTACATTGAGATGATCAAGCAACTCAACTCTAAAGAATCAATCCCGACCACAATCTCGTAGGCTGTTGAAATATTCAAAAAATGCATGCTTATTGATGAAGAACTTTTGATGAGAATAGTTCAAAGACCTTCAAGTTAGGGAAGTCTTATTAAATAATATCTTGTTAACCTTGGTCAGTTTATCGGTAGTCTCACTGTGGCTAGTAATAGACCAATCTATGCCAAGGAACTAGATATTAAGAAGCTTCTAGTGGAAGCTTTTCAGTCAGAAAAACTCAAATATGTGATTGCATTTGTTTGCAGAATATTCAAAGAGACTTCAAAGTCAACAATTTTTAAGCCTCAAAATCCTTGGATCAAAGCTAACCTTGAAATACTCAGAGAGATCTACGATCTTTCCTATCAGAGTAATATGGATGGCTCTAAGAATGAGATCTATCTAGAGATCGACTCAGTCTGCAAATCAATGGGGCTGAATAGTATCAATGATGTTAAAGAGACAGGTTTCTTAAGAGCCTTGATTACTAGATAGTATCAATCTCAGTCTTAGCAAGTAGAAGTCAGTCATTTGATGACTAAGTCTTCATTGATACCCCCTCCACCAGCTCACATTTTATAATAGCAATAGTAATAGTAGCAGATGCAATAGCAGTAATAGCAGCAGTAGCAGTAGCAATAACAGCAGCAATAACAACTAGCCATGAGAAGTCAAATATCCCCATCACCAAATCAATTCCAAATAACAGGAGGTTTATTCCCTAGTAGAACACAAACTCCGAGCAATGATACAGGGCTAAATCAACAGCAGTAAGAAGAGTTGTCAATGAGAGTCACAGTCTCACCATAATTCATTCAGAGCTTTAGATGGCTAGGCTAAGAAACAGAGTAGATATTGAGAACTTTAGTAGCGAAAGCTGTTGATCTCTCGATTATCGACATCTTGCCTCCAGTTGTTGATAGATCTGTCACTATTGCACTTATTACGACTAGAGAATTAGTACTCAAGGATTTCGCATATGATGGAGACTATACTAAGATTTAGAAGGCAGCTGACCTTATAGTATAAAACCTTGCTGGGTCTTTGGCTTTGGTTACTTGCAGAGAGCCATTAAAGATGTCCCTTACTACTAATTTAAAGAAATCAATTTAATAGCTCCTCACTGAACACAACTACGATGATGAAGAGCTATTCAATGAAGGATTGATCCAGGAATTTGCTCAAACTGCCAGTAAAGAGAACTTAGACCTGGGATGCAAATTGATCAGAAAGTCAGTTGTATCTAAGGCTTTCGCTAAGGTTAGAGAAGATCCCTAGATTAAGAGAGCTGTTGAGAATAGAAAGAGTGCCATTACAAATAATGTCTAATTCTAGATTGATGACGGAGTAACACAGCAATTCCAAAGTCTACCTCCTCAATTACAACCCTTACCAAATGGACTTACTGATTCTTAGTTCCAAGTATATGAAGATTTTGCCAGACTTAACTCAAGCTAGAGAAGAGCTCTTGAATAAGCTCAAGAAGCTATGAAATTGGCCTAAATAACTTAGATTCAAGAGTCTAGTGTTAGCGATATTGAAACTATCTTCAGATAATTAGAATAGCAGTGTCATCTCGACAATGTCCTTAGATTCCAAATCACTCAAAAATTGACTCAGCTATCAACAGATTAAGATCAATAGGAAACCAAAAAGATATTGCAATTCACATCTAAATGGCTTGGGAATATTTGCGATAAATTTGTCAAGACTAATGATCTCGATTTAGTAATAGGGCCACTTGAAGCACTTAACTTAATCATTGTTTGCTTTAAGGCTGAAGATCTTCAGAAGAAGTTGACTAAATTCTTCTTAGAGTCAAATGAAGATTATCCAAATCACATCAACTTGACAATCTTATTGATGAAGCACAGCATCCTCTCTATGAGTGAATGGGATTCACACATTTCACAGTATCTTAAAGACTGCATTCAGTTTGCCTCATCACAAGTCTTTGTGACTTTTATCCTAAACTTCATCACAAAATCTATCATACAAGAATAGATCTTCGCCTACACTCAATTCCCTAATATCATTTCAGTTATTGAGAAAATTTCAGAGACTCCTCAGTACGGCATAGCATTTGCTACCATAATTGAGGACCTAAGATCCAAGTTTGCTTGGAATAAAGAGACATTGAAGAAGTACTTCCATCACTGGGCTATCATATCTTTCGAGGAGAACAATTCTAAACAAGAATAAGAAGTCAACAAGTTCTTCAATAACCTTTCCTAGATCGGACTCTACAAAGATGCAGATATAATGTACAATTTCTGCAAGGTAATGGTCGAAGTGAGTATTGAAAGAGCTTTATATACAGCTACAGGCTAAAAGAGACCAAGTGATAGGCTAGACTATAGATATATTGAGAGTTTCCTCAAGCTAATGGTGGTCCTTCTAAGGACTGCTGACATTAACAAACATGAATTCATGTCCAAGCTATTTGAGGCCATTCAAGAAGTTCTAGATGAGGATCACAAGTACAAGAGAGCCGAATTCAACCAGAAGCCATATTATAGACTTTTGATCAACATTTTAATTGCTGTGAATTATTCCCAGTTTGTTAACAAAAAGACTCACTTGCTCATTCTTTTCAGTCTTGCAGATCTATTCAGCAAGTTGAATCCTAACAAGTACCCAGCATTTGCCTTCGCTTGGTTGGAACTTATATCTCACAAATAGTTTATGCCACACTTCTTGTCCCTGAATAAGTAACTCTAAGAGTACGGAAATTTTGTCAATTAGCTTATTCAGAACTCAGGACAGAATCAACCTAACAGACAAGGCATACCAGGTGGTTAAGGCCAAAATATGAATGGTTCATAATAACTTGCAGATAACACTTTCTATCAGAAATGGTTCAAGTTTAAGGAACTTATTGTCAATTTGTTCACATTCCTAAAGAATAACATGATACCAGGTCAGCCATTGTCAGACCCCTTAGTCAAGTTCTATGAAGCAACTCTTAGAGTAGTGCTTGTCATCAGACATGATTTCCCTGAATTCTTATGCGATTTCTACTTCAATTTCGTGAACAGTCTTCCAGAGCACTGCATCTAACTCAGAAACATTATCCTATCTGCTAATCCAAAAGATATCACCTTCCACAATCCTTTCAGTAGATACCTCAAAGTTGATTAGATTCCAGAAATCAACCAGAAGCCAAGGATGCTTTATCAAAGCTTTGAGAATTCAAATGGGGCCATTCATGATAATGGAGAGAGTAGCTTTAACGATCACTAGATTTATCTCGGGTTAATGAACCTAAGAGAAGATCTCGAGAAGTACTTCAGGACTAGAAACCCAGTGTTGATCTAAGTGATATGCGACAAGATGATGTAATCAGAGGAAATCATCAATGGAAGAAGAAAGATCAATAGCAACATCATCAATGCAGTTGTGCTTTTCATCGGTAACTACGCTATCTCTAAGAAGTCAAATGAGTTCAGAGAAAAAGAGTGCTATGAGCTCTACAAGAAGATCATTACTGAACTAAATAGTGAGACCAGAATGTGCTTCTTAAACTGTCTGATCAATGAGCTCAGATACATCAACAGTCAAACCTACTTCTACTCTTGGATAGTCCTGTACCTCTTCCCTGACATTGATGAACGCATTCAGGAACAGATAACAAGAATCCTCATTGAGAGACTCCAAGTCCATGAGCCCTACCCATGGGGACTCTGCATAACATTCAGAGAACTCCTTTAGAACCCAAAGTATAACTTCGCCAAGAAGAGCTTTGTGGTTTAGAACATGCCGATGTTTGAGTTACTATTCCAGACCAGACTGTAGCAGTTACTACCCTACTGGCAGAGCAGAAGAGTCAACGATCAACAACTTGACTAGCAGCAGCAGCTTCAGTAGGTAACTAGTGGAGGTAACATGAATCAGTAGTGAATTAACCTAGATGTGGCAAGCTTCATTGACTAAACCCAATCGACTGTCTTTGGAACTCCACAATCTTCCTAATGTTGAATATAGTTTGTACAAGTTTTTATGTTTGTGTGATATTATTAATTTCAAAGTAATTATTTTCAAATTTAAAATATTATTCTTAATGTAACAAAGCAGCGAATCAAAAGAACCCAATAATCGATCAAGTTCTAACAATGCTCGTCAAACGAATACCTTCAGCCCAACAAACAATACGAACACTATGGGCAATTTCTTCAACACTAGAGGTCCTATTAGGCCTTAGAACTTGGTAACGAACATGGACCCAGCTCAAGCATAAAGAAGCAACAGCAATAATGTGAGAATACCTCAGGCAAGGGATTTCATTAGAAATGATCAAAATTTACTGGGCCAGGCTCAGCTGAATTAACAGTAGTTGAATCCTAATCAGTAGTAAATGCTGATAGAGATGCTAAGAAACTCAGGGGAATTGCAGAGAGATCAGGATTTCGAGTACGGGATTGAAGAAGATGATCAGAGTTATGGAGGGGAAGATGAGGAACAAGATGGAGGTCATAGAATCCAGTATACATACCAAGAGCAAATGTAAATCTTAGTGGAGCTTTAAAAAGAGGGCTAGAGAAACCCAGAATTCCTAAAAGTGCTCGATATTCTTTAAAAAGACGATGAACTCAGACCTTTGATCTTCGAGCATGATATTCTGCTGAGAGCTCTGAGAGACATGGATAACATCAAAGCTGAAATCATGTTGAGCATCTTGACTGCAGCTGAGACAGAGATGTATGAGAATTCTAGACAAAGAGATGAACTGTAGGCAACTAACACATAGTACAGAAACCAGTAAGAATTGCCAGTTTTCAATTTAATACATGAATAGGATTTTGCAATTGACTTAGAATATCAATAATAGCAAACCTGAGACCAAAGAAGTAGCCATAGCTCCCATTTAGTCACTTGCTATAACACAGGACAACTCCTAAGCAATCAGTGATATGATGGAGCAGTCCTAGAAGGCAAAAGATGAAATCTAGAAGCTGAGACACGAACTAGCCTAACTTGAGCATCAGAATATGGACTTGACTTAGGAACTCAAACAAGAAAAGGAACTTAGAATAAACTAGGAGAGAGAACAAGAATGCACCTTCAAGAATCTTTATGAGGAAAACCAGCAGCTCAAGAAACTCAATGAAACTCTGAAGAAGAATGAGACTGAAACCAAGATTGCTTTGGAATCTAGAGAAAGGTAGCATAAGGAGGAAATTGAGCAAATCAAGTCAAAACTTAAGCAGTAGGAGGATATGAGACTTAGCATTCTGGAAAATAAGTCTAAGGTCGAGTTGGATTTGCAAAAGAATGAACAACTGATAGAAAGACTTCATAAGGAGATCTAGTTGATGGAAAAGGACAATGAGGCAGTCCATAGAAAGCTCAACTCAACCCTTAACTCAGTATTGTTCCAAAGCTAGCTTAACCATAACTTCCTTAATAATCTTAACAAAGTTGATACAAATATTAACTTAGGGGAGCATACTCCTGCCAGGAGAAATCTTAGTACTAGTTTCCAGCATTCTGGCATGCTTGATCAAAATCTTAAGAAAGATTCTTTGATAGGGTAGCCTGCCTTTGGTTATGGGCAATCCACGTAAAAGCTAAAACTGCTGATGAGTGAGAACAATAAATCTTAGGGCACTTAGTCTTTTATAGCTCATTCAATATACTATGGACTTGGGCAACTCGGTGGCAATCAAAACAACAATCACATTTACTTCTAAAGAGGAGACTCACTGGTTAGATCAAATTCAATAGAGGTAATATTGCTTGAAGATGAGGAGCATAAAAAGCAAAATATGTTCCCAATGGGAGAAGAGGAGAAGTAAAACTCAGTAGCTTCTGGAGTACTAACTAATAAACAATCATGGCTTAAGACTAAAGGCCTGTTTAACGACTTATCACCGATTAACTCAATATCATCTCATCAAATGGATCACTCTACTTCAAGGTAAAATTAACAGAGAATGAGAAGACTGCAAGAGGTAGAGGAGGAGCAGACTGAAATCTTGGGAACTAACCCAGGCACTGCTACTTACGCTCATCCAGTCAAGTACTATGAGGATCAAATAAAAAGGATGTAATCTGACATTGAGCGCTACAAGGATGAAATAAAGGAGTTGACTACCAAGCTTCACAACACCAATAATTTCATCCTAAAGCAAACAGATGAGAGTCCATTCCATGACACTGACGAGAGACAAAAGATTTTTGCAACTCCATAGAATAATAACAGCAATTACAAATCTAACTATCCTAGTGCTTTTGGCGAGACGGGTGCTCATGAGGAGACCAAGTACCAGAGACAGATCTAGCTAACTAACAATCATAACCCAATGTATACCAATGAATAGTCTCCAATGATGGCTACTTTCTCAAACCAAAAAGACAGGCATTTCTATTCATAGTACAATGTAGACAACAACTAGCACTTTCAATCATAGCAGTCATCATCAGTGCCAAAAACATCAGAGTAAGAGAGAAATTAAATCATGAAGGAGGTTATGCAAAAATTAGAAAATGATTTCTAATCAAAACTTACAGATATCAGAACAAAACTCATATCCCTTTTCAAAAAATTCTTCCCAACTTAGGAGGAACTTATTCAATTTAATACTGAGGACATAAACGTGTCTCTCTTAAATAAAATCATTACTGAAATAATGATCAAGGTTGACCAGTGTTTGGACCTCCAGCACTCTAGACAGCCATCGAGCGCAGTAATGTCCTAAGGTCATTAGCCATTTATCTATTTTCCAAATTCTCAGAGCAACATACCTTTTAATCATTATGGGCCAGGTAGTTATGGAGGCTAGTGGGCACATCATGGTTTGGGCTCACACATTAACTCTACTACTATGGAGCAAACTCCATTTGAATTGAAGAACCTCTTCCTTGAGGAGAAGGAAAAGAGATTACTAGTAGTTGAAGAGCTTTAAAAAACTAATGAGAACTTTATGCGCTACAAGAATGAGAACGAGAGACTTAAGCAGGAACTTCAAGCTGAAAAGCAATAAAACCAGTCAATGTAGATGAGCTACGTGGAGCAGAATACATTCAACAATGACTTATTGCTTAGAAATTTAAAGAATGCAGAAAAAAGACTAGAATTGGTATCAGACGAGAACACTACTCTTAAACTGAGAATTGGTGAACTTGAGAGTGAACTTTATGATGAAAGATCAGGAAAGGCTCACAAGGCGGAGTACACTATCTAGCACATGCAATCGACCATCCAAGGGCAGTTTTATGATTAGAAGATCAAATTTGAGGAACAGATTTTCACTCTTAAATAAGAAGTGCATAAGGCTACACTAGAGTTGCAAGTCTAATTTGAGAGAAATTAAGAACTTAGGGAAAGTGTCTAGTTGCTTAAGGAAAGAAATCAAGAACTCGAAGGGGAAAACTATCAGAGCTTCAAGGAGCATTACAAGCTGTAGTCAGATTTGGATTACGAGACACTAAGAGCTTCTTAATTGACCAATACTCGAGTGAACCAGAGAGACAAACTACTTTCAACCTTCAATAAAGAAAGGTCTAAATTAGAAGACTAATTAGCCAAATTTGAATAGAGAAACAAAGAGCTGTAGTATCTAGTCAATGAATATGAGTTGAAGGTAAAAAAAGTTGAAGATATGAACATTTTAACTAAGCTGTCATTCGAGGACGAGATCAGGAAACTGCAGATAGATAACAGAAGATTGCTAGATTAGATTTAGTCGTTGTAAGATCAGAATAAGCAATTAAGAGAGTATAATATCATTTTGAAGAATGAAAAGTAGCAAGCAGAGCAAATACCCTAGCAAGATAGAAAGATAAATGACAATACAATATAGCTTACTCGCTAAATGGCTTCTTTGAAAATGAGTAATATACTGAAAAGAGGAGACAGTAGAAAGATTACGAAGGCTTTTATAAAATTCATTGAAAACAAACATCTGCACTAATTTTTAGAAAACTCAAAGATTAACCAATCTCAGATGTCTCTGAACATGTTAAATGAACCATAAAATGCAAAAATTCTTGAATTACAAGAAAGACAGTAAATACTTGATCAATAAAACACTAACTTGGTTAAATTAGCAAGTAAAATGCTTAGATAAGCTAACTTAAGAAGACCCATAAAAGCTAACTTCCAAGGGTTAGTAAGTAGTTAGACAGTCAACTATATAATTTATGGTCTTAAAAACAATACTGAAATCTATGAGTTAAATCTTAGCTCTTGCGAGCTAGACGACAATGATCTTATCAGATTAGTTGAGATGCTCAAATTCGATTAAGGACTATAGAATCTTAAACTATCCTCAAACAGATTTGCATAGATATAGCCATTACTAGAACTGGTATAAACTAAAGCTCATCAGTTCAAAATACTAGACATTTCTTATTGCCAGATCAATGAAAAGATACTTGAATTGCTACCAAAGACAATAATACAACTAGTAAATCTGAAGGAGCTATACATATCAGGGATCATTAATTAATAATTAGCCTAGTCTAAGGATAAGGTCAATAATTTCTTACAAGCTATAGTCACTCTGAGAACTCTTAATGCACTTGATTTGTCTAAGAATAAATTGCTACCTGATTCAATAATAACCTTTTGTAATAACATGAAATTGCTAAGCAACCTTAACTCCTTAGCCTTAAGTTCTATATAAATGATTGATGAATGCTCTTAGGCAGTGTAATATATGATAACTGCTCTACCTAATCTCAGGAAATTGCTAATTCAGGGTAACAGTCATATTAGTGCAAAGGAGTTTGAAGGCATTTTAAGAGCCATTAAGAAGGAAGGCTTTATTGAGGAACTAGACTTAAGTTAATGTTAAGTAGGCTCCTCTTAGTGCATTCAAATACTACTTGAGATACTCATTACTAATAAGAATATAACCACTTTAGGACTTAAAAAAGTTCAGCTAAAAGACACAATGGCTTGCCATTTGATTCAGGGTATTGTAAATTCTCTCAATCTTTAAGTACTTAAACTGGACCAGAATCTAATAACTCATATTTTTGTCGAAAAACTAACGGAAAATATGATTATAAATAAACTTTCAAACAAGGACCTAGAAAGATAAAGAAGTAGAGGATACTAGAGTAATCATAGTTTACTTAATTAAGACTCAGATGGTTCATTCTTAGCATTGAGTGAGGAAAACTCTCATTCTAGCTAGCATAAGTCTGCAAATCAAGGTCTTCAATAAATATCTCTAAGTTTGAATAAAATTGGAGATAAAGGAGCAATAGCTATATCTAAACTAATTAGAATTCCAAATGATCACACCAGGCTATTAAAAGCAGTGTGCTTAGATGAATGCGGTATTACTCAAATAGGATTCTAGGCTCTAAGAGATGCTCTATAAGAAAGAGGAAATATGACTACCTAATTTAACAATCTTAGTCATGTCAAGATCTCAATTGATAGAAATAACATTGAGTGATTCGATTCATGTATAATTAATTAGCTTTAATTAGCTTTCAAAATTGATTGATATTTTAATTTCATAACTTAAAGCCTTAATTTCGCTTATAGGGGTTTTGGGGTTTTGGGG